ATATTTAAAATTCACTGCATTTTTCTTTTATTTGGATAAAATTTATTTCAGCAATATTTTAGACATTTGATGTGTGTTGCTAATATTTTATGGGACACATAAAAAAATTATACTAAAGGAAAATGCTAGGGCTACACCAAAAGTGTACCCCAAATATCCCCGATCCCCTCCATAACAACATAAATTAGCGTGTAAAATTCAAAAAAAATTAAATAAAAATGAATGGTAAATAGGCATGTGGTGTACATTTGGAATACACTTTTGGTTTACCCCTAAAATCTCCTAATATTAAAAGATCCAAAGATCTTTTAATGAAAAAACAAAGGGTACCCAACAAAAAAATCCAAATATCTTTTTGAACAGTTAACTAAAATACTCCCTGTCTCCCAAAATATTTACAACATTTGTTTTTTTAGCAGTCACGGGAACTTTTGTTTATTTCTACGTTTTCATTGGTTATTTGATAAAATAAAATATTTTTGATACCTTTTATTTCGAAGAACTTTTCATGTATTTTTTAGATATGTAAATTTTATTTTTTATTTCTATACCAATATGTAAATAAAATAAATTTAAAAAATTTAATATTTTATCTCAGAAATATAAGTGTGACAAATGTTTAGGGATGGAAGTATACCAGTAATCAAAAGTAGTTCTAAAAGACAGTGTAAAAGCACAAAAGCAAAGGAATAATTTGCCAAGCAAGTGGGATATGTAGTAGTGTAATACCATGTCAGCTTTCTTTATTTGTCCAATTATCCGAGAAATAATTTTTTTTAAGGATTGCAGGAGAAAATTGGTGCTAAAATAAATCGTGTTTCCTTTACTCATAAGTTTAAGGCTCAAGAAAAAAAAGTGGTGCTAAATTAAAATAAGATTGCAAAATCATCCCCCATAAAGTAGAATATTTATAAACCAATATCGTGATTTAGCTTCTTTGCGAAGGCAGACCTGAATTGCTTTCCCCGTCATTGTATACTCCCTTGATCCCAAAAAGTCCTTCACATTTAAAAAAAAAATCGTCTTCTGATCTCTTTTCCATTTTTATTAAAAAATTATTTTTATCTTTTACTTTTCTATACCATGCTTATCACATCATACCTTTTTTCTAATAATCTACCAATCATATCTTACTTTTATCAATCACATCAAGAAGATTTTTGGAAAGTCAACACAAAATTATTTCTCCTTCATTTTTCAACCTTAGTCAATATATTTCTCTATTTCTGGGACGAAGGGAGTATATGCAGGACAATATGATTGTCCTGCAGTAATTATAACTAAAAACTAAAAGTATCATGTAAGTAATTTTTTTGTCACATGTTTGCAAAAAAGTTATGCTAGTAGTACACCATTTGGTCATTCAATATTTATCCACTTTCTAATTTTTTTTATTTATATTTATTATTATGTGGTGATAGGGTAGTGGTGGATACCTCGATACACGATTTGCATTTTTCTTACAAGGATTAAACTATTTGTACACCAAAATGTGTACCTTATTTTATACCCTAAATGTAATATCTTGTATTAAGATTGGAATGTGAAGAGCTCAAAAGGATTGATTGTACTACTCATACCAACAAAGTGCATCTTCTTTTCGAGAGCTCATCACCTAAAAAACTCCAAAGTTAAGCGCGCTTGACCTGAAGCAATTTTAGGATGGGTGGCCCCCTGGAAAGTTTTCATTGTGCACGCATGAGTGAGGACAAAGTGTGCGAGAAAGACTTGTGTTGGTTTGTGTGGAGCCAGTCTACAATCCTATGAGCGGACACTTACGGCTAGGGTGAGGGCTGGAGTGTTACACTAAACGTATGCACCGACATTTTGTGCTAGTGTGATGATTTACATTGGCAAAAAATGTCAGTGCAAGTTTTTTAGTTGATCTACTCCCTCTGCCCTAAAACTTTATTCTCAAAGTACTATTCCAACTTCACGGAAATTTATATTTATTTGTGTTTTTTCATGGCCTATATGATAAAATATTCTTGTCACCACTTGTTTTGTTGAACTTTTGATGTAGTTTTTAAACATGTATGTTTTATTTTTTATTTCTATACCAATATATAAATAAAATAGATAGAAAAAAATTGAAATTTTTATTCGTTTTGCACAACAGAAAGAAAGATATAAGACGGATGGAGTAACATGTTCTATTTGTGTGAATTCTTAAAATATCAGTGCATTTCTTTGATTTACACTTACTTAATAATAGCTAGCGGTCTGATATTGCATACTAGGATGTCACGTCAATTAATTGGACCATCATTCAAGTCCCAAGTGGTCGGTCTTGGTCCGCTGTGATGTCCTTGTTCAAATAGGAGTTATTTTTTTTAACACTTCTTTTGAGATTGAAGTTTAGGCTAAATATTACATAATGAGTGTTTAGTTACTTCAATTCTATAAAGATTGATAGACATTCAATTTAATTTCTAGTTAATTTCAATTTAAAAGTGTATAGTACAAAAACCTATTCCATTTATCTATGTTAAATTATAGATAGATGACCTACCACATGTAATATACTATTGGGTAGGTAAATGTTATGGTGGACATTAGAGCATTTATCTATGCTAAGTATTTCACTAATTTTTAGTCTTGCTCCAAAATCCTGCAATGATATCGATTTGAAAACTTGATTTTTCATTTTTTAATAATATTCATCATTTTTAATTCCATTCTATTTAAAAATCATATAATTAAAATAAAAATGATACGATTGACACTCTTTGTTAAAATACGAAATACACCGAAACATATTTAAAATTTTAAAAAAATGAAAAATATTGAAATAAAAGACGAAATAAACAAAAATTAATGCTGTAATTAAGTATTGTTGTGCCTCGAGATTTCTTCTATCAAATCATCAAAGAGAAAGAGCCTTTTTTGGGTGATTTGAGACTGATAGAGAACTAAGAAAACAGGTAAACTGAGAAAGATGATAGTTGATGGATTGGAGTAGAAGATGTGTTGAATTTTTAGGGTTGAAAAACTAAAGAAATAAATAAAAATCGAATTGCGGCACGGTAGACCACTGCAGTGGGCCGCCGCCGCAATTTTTTGAGGGGAATTCTGTCCGGCGGAGGGACGCAATTGGGGCGAGCGCGGAGGCTGAAAATGCGCCCCTCCTCCGGCAATAGACGTCTGGCGCGCCGCCATATCGGAGCATTTAACATTTTAACATGTTTAACCTCTTTTATCGTAATCTTAAGCTTTGATCATAAGTAGAAATTATCCCGTAACTTCTAACTAAGAAAACAGTGCCTATATCAAGGCCCATTCCAAAAATATGCATGCAATCCATATTGGGAATCCTCATTTGTTTAGGAATATGAAGGCCCATATTAGGAATACATATTAGCCCCATTCTAAGGCCTCACGTGTAATTTCACTTTTCTACTTCCAAACTCAACCGTAAATCCTCATTTCACGGGTAAGAAAATAAAATTTATGCATGTGAGTAATGTACAATATTGTATTATAAAATATAATACTCCTTCCGTCCTAAAATTTCTTTCCACTAACTTTTTGTACGGTCAAATTTTACTCATTTTCTTTACTTATTTTCATTAGGTATTTGATAAAATAATATAGTTTTGTCACCACTTGTTTTGTAGAACTTTTGATGTAGTTTTTAAATATATAAATTTTATTTTTTAATTTTATACCTATAATCAAATAAATTGAATTGAAAATAAAGTTTGTTACATGTATTTTTTTAGGACTAGTAAAAATGAATTCTTTGGGAAAAAAAAGGAAATGCAAAATTCCATAAATACATTTTATGTAGATTAAAAAACTAAACTAAATTATTCAATATTTTCTGGGGTCACTAGACCAGATCAAACTTCGAGTCGGGCCATGGCATTATGTAACTGAAATTTCTTTGAATCGAGCCCGACCCGATTAACATTACTGTCCTATATTTCATGTCCAAACCCAGACCGGGCCTTATCACCTTCGGGCCCTGTAATTTATTGCCCATTAAAGCTTGAGCCCGTATTTTTTCAAACAGGCGCAGCAAATACCCAAACGTATGATCGGGTCTAGAGATCACATATAGATTACAGAAATGAACAAGAGACCCAAACAAGTGGAGGTAAATTATTTTCTGTTTTCTCTTAGATAGCATTTAATAATCACATAATCTTTTACACTATATTTGGTTCAAGAAAAATTTGGAAGAAAAAAAAAAGATTTTATCTCATTTTCCTCACAAAAATGGAAGAAATTTAGTTTTTCTTCCACTAATTATTTTTTACCTTCTCATTTTCTTTTCCTCCCACTTTTCCTTTCTTTTTCTCTCTAACCAAACAAAAAAAAAACTATCTTCATTTTTTTTCCATAACCAAAAATAGTGTTAACGTAAAATTGCAAATTTGGCAAAGATCGTATTTCCCAAAGAAAAGTTTCAAGTGAATGAATCTATGGTCCCTTTACCGCATAATTTATTATTCACTCTAACCATGGCCAGAATAAAATTGCAATATGGCATTCACAAACACAAACAATAAAAAAATCAATTTATCATCTCAATTTGCACATAACTAAAAAAAATAGAGATGATCAAAAGGCTTACACCGATCCGGTCGGTTTTTATGGATACTATTTAAAATGAGATAAGAATAATCTCATCTTTGATATAAAAAAAATACTTTTTGGGACCATATAAATATATAATCCAGCTAGGGCCGGTCCTAGCCCGGTCCAATCTTTCTTTTATTAAAAAATGTGACTCTTTTTAGTTTTTTAGAAAACTAAAAAATATAAATATTACTTTTTTTTATCTAATTTCTTATTTTCTTCAATTACAACACTGTTGATTTTTTATAAAGACCTTGTACAATTGAATTTATTATGACATGTTTTTAAATTTATTTAAAGAATATGAAGTATTAAGTTGTACGGAGTATATGAAATAGATAAAATACTCCATAATACAACAACAACAACCCAGTTAAATCCCACAAGAGTAGGGTCTGGATTTATGTAATATGCTAAAAAAATAGAAGTATTTATGTAAATTTATATTTTAATGTTACATTTTCGGACTGGTGCTAGTATGATCCCAATATAGTGTTTTCACAAAAGACCACTGGTCCGGGTCTGGTCCTTCCCCAAATTTGGAGGACCAAATGAGACACTCAACCATACAAAAGTTGGATGAAACAGAATAGAATGGCTTCAAAAACTTATCTTAAAATGAATTTGTCTTCACTCTATGCATGTCCAGAAGAAAAAAATATAAATAAATGAATTCTATTACTAAAATGAAATTAAATGGTGAAAAAAACTACTACCCTCTCACCTCTAAAATAATGTACAGCTTCAAAGGGGAATGGCATACACTCATTAGGAGTGTTCCTTGTTTTGAAGGAAGGTGATGAGGTTGGCTAGAGCAGTGTCTGCATCATCACTCTTCATAAGCTCCCCGGCAACTTCAGCCGGCGTCGCATTGACTTTCAAAAGCAGCTGCTCAATCTCCGGGTACAGAACATGGTGGCCGTGGTGGCGGTGGTCTATCTTAAGGTAGTTAGCGGCGAGGGTGAGGAAGCCGGAGAAAGTGCAGTAGGACATGTGAATGTGGACGTCCATGCGTCCAGGGCGGAGCAATGCAGGGTCAAGACGGTCCTTGTGATTCGTGGTGAACACTATGATCCTCTCGTCCCCGCAGCTCGACCACAATCCATCCATGAAGTTTAGCAACCCGGAGAGCGTTATCTGTCACCCCACACAAGTTTTGAATTACAGACATAGTTAATCTACAATGATAAATGACCTTCTCAGAGGTCGCGAGTTCAAATCTCAGCTAACAAGTTATTCTACTGTTGCATAAAAAAGGCATTGAAGTGGGAGAAGTAGCGAAAAGCAAAGAAAATCGACGCACCTTGTCTTCCTCGGGGGATTGATTATTCGATTCGCGACTCTGCAATCCGACATTGCAGTCAATGTCTTCGATCACGAGGATGGAGCGGTTGGCGGAACCGATCAACAACCTTCTCAGATCCGAATTGCACTGCACCTCCCGGAGGTCGAGATCATAGACATCGAACTTGAGGTGATTGGCAATGGCTGCCACCAAGCTGGATTTCCCTGTACCGGGAGGGCCATACAGCAAGTACCCTCTCTTCCATGCCTTCCCCACTCTCCTGTAATAATCCCTCCTGCTTATGAACCTGTCCAAATCCTCGATTATCTCCTTCTTCGCCCCCTCCGGCATAGCCATGGTTTTGAAGCTCGCCGGATGGTTCAGCACGACCGAGCTCCAGTAGTCCGTTCCGTTGTAATCCACCGTGTGCAGCCTCACCGAGCGCCTCTGCTCCTTCATCTCCTTCCATGTCTTCAGAACGTGCGGCAAGTAGACCTTCAGGACGGTCTCTCTGTGCTTCTTGTTGAATCTCAGCTCGAAATACCTGTGCTCTGTTCTGGCGGCGGCGGCGTTCCCTTTGCCGGAGGGTGTATTGAGCTCCGTCGATTTGAGGACCCACTCCACCCTCACGCCGCCGTGGAAATCGACGATCTCTTGGCTCCGATCGACGGTCAAGATCAGTTCCTCGTCCTTCTCTGGTTTGACCACTTTGATCCTCCGCGTGGCAGGGGAAATCTTGGTCCCCAAGAAAAGGGCGGCGGCCTCGAACATCTGGTTCGAGGTCAGGCCGTCGGATTCTTCGATGACGATGGTGAGCTGCGAGGAGAAGCGGGTGAAGAGGGTGTGGAGGCGGGCGGAGATGTGGGAGCGCAGAGCGACGGGGACGAGGTCGGTGGCTATGGTCCGGAGGAAGATGGCGGAGGCGGCCAGAGATGTGGCGGCGGCCAGAACGGAGCCGGAGGAGAGGGAAAGGCTCGCCGCGGAGGGTTCTGGAAAGACAACCATCTTTCTCCTGCGTTCAAGGGACGATTGAATTGAAAATTGGAGTAGTACAAGGGTTTATGCACTTCCATGGGATAGCTTGCTCCTCAAGGGAAAAAAGTAAATTTTAATTACCACCGTCAAAAGATTGTCACAATTTAATACTTTTGATCAAAGTTTAGTCCCATTTAATCGCAAATTAGAAAAAAAAAAGTATTTTAATTATAATATGAATTAATTAAAATTAAATTTATTTAAAAATATAATTTTGAAGTATCAAATTTGTATAATATTTAATCATATTTTCCTTATAATTAGATTTTTTGCTTTTTACAAAGCTCATTACATATTAAGGAGCATTATTTTATTTATTAAAGTATAAAAAATAAGTGTGTATGTGATGACTATAAAAAAAGAAATAAAATGAAAAATATTGTTCTCTTTTTTTTACAATGCTCATTACATATTACGGAGTATTATTTTATTTATTAAAGTATAAAAAATAAGTGTGTATATGATGACTATAAAAAAAGAAATAAAATGAAAAATATTGTTCACTCTTTCCTATTCGAGGAGATTTCACTTACCAATATACGAGATATTGTAGCACTGACTAATGAAGTCCTATCAATTAGTAAGTATTACACTAATACACACAAGAATTTTTTTGGAACGTCCAAGGAGGAAAACTGTATCAAGCTTGCATTGGGTTAATAATAAGAAAACTTGATTTAAAGTGAAAAGTCGATTTAAATTTATTGAAGTGGATTTCATTTAACGAGATTTTGTTGATTTTTAAAAATTCATCAACCAGATTTAAACCTTATATGCAAACGAAAGACACCTGTAGTAATAGTAATCATGTACCTTGTTTATCCATATTTTGAAGCAAGACCATATTTTGAACCATCTTCCTCTGTAATTTACATGTCTGTAGAGATTCAACAATAACAACTTACTCTATGAAATCCCATAAAGTGAGGTTTGAGGGGTAGGTGTACACAAACCTCACCCCTACATAGAATACGTAGAGCCTATTCACGAAAGAGTCCCCACACCCCCCCCCCCCCCCCGGGGTCAAGCCGTGACGACAAAAGGGTACGGAGGAAAAAGAAGAAGAGACAATTCAAACCATTCTATTCTGAACTTTTAACTGAAATAGTGTGGAGGGCAATACACTTACAAGTTACAATGGTCACATATTTATGACCTTGAAAGGAGAGAAAAGGATACAATAAAATCACAGTATACCAACCACAGACAAGTATAGTAGTACCCTCCTATCAAGAAAGTACCTTTGGATTTGACGAAACACGGAAGAGCCCCAAATCCTATGAAAACTTGCTGGAGTACTCATGGCATCAGTTTCCATATAGGCGTGGGGTTGTTGTCAATTACGATTCAAAACGGGAAGAGTAAGAAATGGTTTAGATTATTGCATGAAATAATATGGCCCCGAAAACTGCAATCAGCTACTAAAATTTGAGTCGCGTCTGATTGAGGGATTCCCTTGACGCGTGCTGTGCATTTATCATCTTTATGTAACTTTTGACAATCTTCTGGTCTAGCTCATAGTAGAATTCCATCTTATTCAAATATTTCAGGTCCAAATCAATGAAAGATACCTAGCAGTTTGAAGCAATGTTGATCATGGATATGCCAAAACATACTATATCATAAGCGCGCTTAAGTCTAAAAGAAAAACATGATTTAGTGAAGATCCTATTACTTTCCAACATTTTATTCGGCACGGATAAAGTGTGCTAACTGCTATGAATATGGCATGAAAAGAAACCCAAATGAAAAGCACATAAATAGACATTTTTCTATGTATTCCATACTACAAATACGTGTACATATATACACGGACACAAATAGACACTCGTAGATGACACCAAGTGCATATCGGTGTCAAAAGTTGCATAAAGCAATGTGTTCGCATTCATTGTATGAATAAGCAAAACACATGCTAAACACTTAAATGTGTTAAAAAAAAATCAATAAATTAAGGTCAACAATTTGCATAGCTTCTACCATCAAATATTAAGAATTAAAACAGAAAATACTTTCTTTCAACTATATAGCGAAAATGTTAGGATGACTTGAATATTGTTGACAAACGCATAAAAAAATCCAGATATTCAAGTACTGAGGTCCAAATTGCAGGAGAGAAAAAGTCGCATACCTTGTAATTAAAATGTTGGTTTGTTGACTTTAAGGAGACAAGACTATAAGCAGACTCGCTATTCCCATCTTTTTGAGGTTTGAAGCTTATCATAATACCCAAATCCTTTGCAGTAGTAGCTATTAAATAGTCCCTCAAAATCTTCCCACTTTCTTCCATTGAAAGAGAATGCAAGGTGCCAAATCTTTTAGACATGCCGCTACCTAATTCTCGACAAACCATACAAGGCTGAGAAATAAAATTATAATATACATGAATCGCACCCTCAACGTCTAAAATATCGAGCTTCTGGACTTCAAGAAGTCGATTTAGTACCCCTGAACTTAAGAGAGCCTCAGAAATGAGTCCAAGAAAATATTTAGTACGCATTCCTTCTTCTGCCAAAATTACATTCTTTAATACATCTTCGAATTCTTGACTATCTTTAGCATTTGTAGCTTCTGCAACACCACCCAGGCCCCCAAATTTGAGAGAACCATTCAAAAATACTCGGAAGTTATTTTGTGGGGTCATAAAAAGATCCATCATTGCTTTGTCCAATCTGTCTTTCGACTCAGAAAACATATCCAGTGGATCATATCCACTTATATATGATAACTGAAAAAAGGATGGTAAAGGACCCCAATTATGAGAAACACAATGAAGTTAAGAGCGGTACCGCATCATTAAAACTAAAACAATGGACTAAAGATGGCCAACTGAAAAAAATAAACACAACTGGGCTTTAAATGTACAAAATACAAATAATTGAAAAAATATAATACTCCCTCGGTCCCACTATTTTTGCGACATGGAAGAGTGACACTAAAATTAAGAAAAGTAAGGTTGTGTGGTTGATATTGATGTTCAAAAGTATGATAAAGTATGAATGAATGTGGACCACACAAATATAACTGAATATGGAATGAGACAAAAATGGTAAAAGGGATCGAAACAGCAGGACGGAGGTAGAAGTTATGTTCAGTGCTTGATATAGTCAATACCTTCCCTTGATCAACCTTAAGAGCCTGGTGCATTTTGAAACGACTAATTCTCCTTTTTACAGCATTACTTTCTTTAATAAATTCTGACTGTGGAAGGAATCCACATTTGGGCTGCGTCCAGGGAAATAGAAAAAATGCAAGGTAATTATGCCCTAGTAAAGGAGTGAAGAAAACAAGAACTGTACTCATAATAAGGTTTACAAAGGTGAACAACAAAATAATGCACCTTTATTTCAACACATATGCACAGTTCCTCTTCAGGTGTAACTGAAAGGAAGATACATGTGTGTTATTCTTAGGATCGGACACAGATCGAGGCATATATAATAAACAAAGATATGCCATCATTTGGACACTAACTTACGATGACAGTCCAAATGCAATCTTTATATTGCAAGAGCATAAACTGAGCCATTTTATTCCCCAGATGCATATTGCTTAGATTTGTGAAGTCAAATATGGGTACAATTGTATAACAATATTATACAATGTATGATCAATGCAAATTTAAACTTCTCATTGTTTCTGCATTTCATCTTTGAAGATTAATTTTGGTAGTTATTATTCTAGTACTACGTAATTTTTAGCATATATCCAAGGGCTTGTTAATAAGTAGCATTAGTTCAATACCACATCATGATCACAAAAAGGACAACAAAAAGGTACTATTACCATGGGGGAATGTTGAATGATCAGACATAAGTATAGCAGAATCACTCAGGAGATTAACTTTAGCAGCATCTACCCGCCAAGGGGGGCGTACCTGAAGAGCATTCTTTTCAACTGCCTCCAAAAATTCTTTGGATACAAGGATACAAACCTGACAATCCATAGAACAGCAAAGCATACACATTTAATCATGCTATTGAACACTGCAAATCCAATACGGCATCAACTTCAACAAATTAATTCCAACTAGTTGGGGTTAGTGGCATTAAACCTAAAGAGCTAATTAATTGTTTTATATTCGTTGACACTTTAAAATCATGAAACCAAGTATAACAAAAATGTTTTACGTTGGATGCCTGTCATGTCTCAATCTTCATACAAAGGAATAATGAGATAAATTTCTAAAACCATCATAATTATAGGTAGTTTACTTACACAGAGAAAATGTCATGGGTTGTGCAATGAATACATATAAAGAACATTATAACCATTTACTAGCAATTCAGAATAGGGAACGGTAATCGCGAAGATGGATCGCAATGGATGTTATAGTGTTGTTCAAACCAAATAATGTTAAAAGACATAACAAGAGTCATAAATGTTGGCACTTGCATACCCCAGCATCAATATGTTTAGGACCCAATAATGGTTCCATTACATGCTGGGCAAAGAAGTGTCCTGCAATTTCCCTAGTGGGGGCAGATACAAGCTCTTTGACATCTTTCCAAAGATGTCTTTCAGGAATGGTTAAGCTCGAATGACCGGTTCTATTTTCAGACCCATTTGCTCGATCCTTTTGAATCCTCAAAACTTTGCCAACCTACAAAAAAGAAAGGGAAAAGTTGCGGCATATAATGTAAGATAGTCTTGTGTGCAGAATAGAGAAGGATCATAATATCAACACTTTCAAATGAATGAATAATTCAAAAAATGAAGATGGACTATAAACAAGACATCTATACAATCTACCTGCAATATATAATAATAATAATAATAATAATAATAATAATAGAATTTCTGGAGAGATTAAATGAACTCTTTAATTTTCAGTTTTTCACATAAGCACTAACTCAATCTATATCTCTATAAATATATCAAAGTGCTATTTTTAGTCAGAAACTTCCTCTGTCACGGTGTGTTTGTCCATTTGGTTCATGTGCAAAAAGCAAGTGGATGAACATAACGAGATGGGAGAGTACTCCTTTTCTATCAGTAAACCATAACGAAACGTACAAATTGAGGAGATCTTCCGCAATAGAAAAGAACTAAATTGGCTGCTCCTTCTCCCCTGTAAGACCATTCCATTGCATCTTGCGCACCCAAAGCCACCTCCATTCCTTTTCCAAAATAAGTATAAACTAATATGCATAAATAAATAATCAAAAGTTTTGGGTTGCAAACTTGCAATGTAAACATGGTAAATGAGTTTACCTAAGATTACAAATGCATGAAGAATGGGGTTGAGGTTTATGGTTCAGTACAGACCAACCCACAGTTTTGTCCTAGTCGGATATCAGAAACACCAAGGAGACACCTGTTTGCATGTGGTGTGTCCGGCAATTTTGTAGAGAAGGGGGGAAAATTAGACACAAATTTAACAAGTAATACCACTAACTAGCAAACTAAATATTCAGAAACAAATCACGAACACTCAAAATTCTTTAAAGTATTGCCGCCATGTTTTTATTCCTAAAATAATGTGTACTACTCCCGTCGTCCCATAAACAATGTCCCATTGCGGATAAAGAAACCTGGCTGAAGTTGTGTTAAAAATATATTTATATGTTTATAAACTACTTCAAAAACTCTATAAAACAAAAAGGGGACATGACTAAAACACTTAAAAATGAAATCAGATAAAGAAAGAAGAATTAGTTTGCCTGCAGTGGAATTTTTTTTATTGGAAATCTCATCAATACTTGAGAGTCACTAACTAAACATATCATAATCTAGGGTTTCAAATTCACAGAACATAGTTTATAAACAATGCGAGCTCAAAACTCTTAAATAAAGCATTCAATTCATCAAGTTTACTCATTTAAAGCTGTGAAGTTCATACATACCTTTGGCAAATTGCACTTTCAAAAGATAATTCTGAAAAGTGAAACGCCTCCTTTCGAGATTTGTGGGTGATAAAGCACCGAAATGGTTGGCCGCTGGCAATAACTCAAAGCGTGAGAATGGTGGCAGTCCCCTCGACTGTGAGGTTTCAAAAAAAAAACAGAAAGTAAACTCAATTGTGTACATAATTTCATTTATGCACTTACAAATTCATTTACTTCTCCCTCCTAAAAATTCTTTGCAATTTTACGTTTGTCGAATTTTACAAATTTTGACTATATCTAGATTTATAATGTACATTTAATATAATTTAGATTTATTTCAAGATAGTTTTGATAAATCAAATTTTTTGTAATATTTTTTTATTTGAAATTATATATATTAATAATCAAAGTATATTTATTTAAATTTCTGTTCTCTTTACTTATTTTAGTTAATCAATAATTAAAATAATTTTTTTTGTTATTTTTACTTATTTTGATGAACTTTTGTTTGAAATTATGTATCACTATTTAAATAAATTAGATTGAAAATTAAATGAGTGAACCCTCATTAAGTGATGATTACTTTTGGATGTAGGAAGTATATTTTAGAATTTTCGGTCCCCAAAGAGCTTTGGGGTGAGCATATTTCATTGAAGATATTTTCAACTCAATAAATCTTATAATTGGTGTAGAATTTAAAAACAAAAATTAAATATATAAAAAATAAAGAAAAGTTATTCAAAAGGAAGAACTACCAAAATATGATTAAACATTATCAATATATAATGCAAAAAATGCCAAATTATGCCATTGCACGATAGCAAAGGTCATATACTCCTATTTAACAGATAAAAATATAGAAAAATCTATCTTCGTTTCAGTATAATGTTTTAGTCCTACTTAGGTAGGTCTCATTTTACAAAATAAGTGACGACTCAATTGTTTTATTTGATCAAATGATCAATAAGAGTCTTACATTGCAAGTATAAAATGCATCTTGCACTTGATAGGATCAAGTTTTCATACTTTGCCACTTTGGAAGTGATTTATGATAACATCGTCGCTAATGGTAACAAAAATTACGCTCTATCTATCTCACTAGACAATGATTTAACCAAGGTCACACATTTTGTTTCAAACTCTATTTTTCACAAACCTTCAATTCATGACTAAAAAAGCACGGTAAACACTAACTACTCATAGAAGTAAATCTAACTTTATTAGAGTAAAACATGGTAATATGTCGCAGACGTCTTTGAAGAAACTACTTTCATAGATAAATCAAAAAGCCCCTTCGAATCTACGTTTTTTAGCTGCGATTTAGAGAAATTTCATAATTTTGGTGTTGGAACTGATACAGTTTGATAATAATTGATCTTATTGAACAGTGAAAGTTGCATTATGTATAGGGATTACAAGAGAGAATTTAACTCTCAGTAGAATAAGAATTATAGTAACAAACTAACAATACAATAAAAATACGGAGTAATAGAATTAGGTAATTAATAATAATTTTTTATTCATATTTAGGAACGAACTTTTCTTAAATAACCACGATTCATTCAGGGCATTCGGATGATAATCAATAATTCTCTTTCTTAGCCGCGAATGCTCCTATTATAAATTTAAAGATGACGAAGCATTTGAATTCAAAATTGATGGATTATTTTGAGAAACCTTAACCCAAACATTCTAACACACTAACAGATCACAGCTCACAAATTCATATCCATATAGATTTATACTTATATGGACAAAGCACGATAAATTATCATCAAATTAATCAATAATTTCAACAAAAAAAAATGGAGATTCGGGGAGTCTGAAAATCTGGATAAATAAATAAAAAATACCAGGCTGGCAGTGGCTAAGAGGTAGCTGACAGAGCGTCGGAGTGGTGGAGCAAGAACGGACGTCGGAGACGCGGCAGGTTAACAATTTAACCGTTGCTAATATCTGAGGTTGTGCGCAGAAAAAAAGGACTCCTCGGGAAAAAATTCTAGTCCCCCATTATTCGGGTATCAAGCTTATATTCTACACCCTATTTATCTTTTGGAATTTATTTGAATCACTATTAGGACCTATTTGGTGAGTTTTGCGGATATGATAAGATATGGGTTTTGAAATTTAAAAAAAATTATATGAGTTTTGAAATCTGAAAGGAAAGTATTTGGAAAAATAGAATTGAAATTAAATTACAGATACAACTGTTTCGTGAGCAATTGAGAAATCCAATGTAAAAGAAATAAACACAAAACAAGCTAAACAAAGAATAATTTGTTATAGAACAAGTTAAAAAAATATAAAATGAGTTAAAAAAATTAAATGCATAACAATTTGTAAATTTGTTAAACAGAGAATAATTTGTTACTCCCTCCGTCCTATAATGATCTTCCCAGAGCACTATTCCAACTTCACGGGAATTTATATTTATTTGTGTTTTTTCATGGCCTATATGATAAAATAAAATATTCTTGTCACCACTTGTTTTGTTGAACTTTTGGTGTAGTTTTTAAATATGTATGTTTTATTTTTTATTTCTATACTAATATTTAAATAAAATAGATTAAAAAAACTTGGAATTTTTCTTCGTTTTGCGAACCGGGAAGTTCATTATAGGACGGAGGGAGTAAAAGCAAAAAAAATTGGAAAAGATGCACTTTTCCACTCTTTTGTCATAAAAAGATGTTAGAAACAATCTCCAAACAAGATTCAATTGAAGGTTTAGGTGCGATGCACGAAGAAATAGTTTTCAAAGTTTTCTCCAGGCTCAATAATTTTCCATAAAATTGGTCAAAAATTGAAGAAGTGATAACATTTTAGATTAAAAATGATGATAATTAAAAATATATATTGTAAAATCTGTGGGAAAAAAAAGACGAATTGAGAAAAGAGAGGACAAAATTAGAAATTGCAGAATATTGGAGCAATCAATTCCAGAAATTGCATGCTCATTTTATAATTAAAGTGGCAGAAAAAAGGTAAAAGAAAAAAAAACCAAAAAATAAAGAAGAGCAGACAACCGAAGAAGGGATGGAGGCCTTTGAAAGCGTAAGATTCATATCGGCCAAATTAATCGGATATGGAGTGGCGCTTTTTGTGCTGAATTCCCAAATCTCCATATTTCAGTTATGAATTCCTCTTTAGGTTCACCAAACATATATTTTAGAAACTTCATATCTCGGATATTGAAACCCATATCTTTTTTACTCACCAAACAGGTCTTTAGTTCCTTTTAGAATTTGCAAATCGGTCTCTCAAGTCGAGTTCGAGTTTGATCAATTTAGGTTCGAGTTAATTTGGATTTGTGTTGATAAACTCTATGTTCTTGATCCCTGTGTTATCATATTCACATGGACTAACAGGTAATGAATTTGATTTTTAAAATTTTTAAATTCATATTAACATTTGCATTTTACATTAAATAAAATTAAAATATAAAAAATATATATTAAATCTATTAGATTATTTTATATTAAATTCTAAAGTATATATAAATCAATATAAAAAATTTAAAAAGGCATAATTTTTTTTAAAAAGGAATATAAGTATTCAATATCATTAAAATTTTGTCTGGAAATATAAATTTAAGCACTGAAAACGAGTTGTAAGAAAAATATAATTATAACCTTATTTTTATAACATTATATTATGTAGTAAAGTATATAAATTTGAAAAACTCTTACACTAGGTCAAGTGGGATTCGGGTTTGACCCATTTTTAGCGGGTCATTTGGGTTTCAGTCAAATTTGGGTTTGGTCATCAAAATCTCTGTTCAAAACCCAATATTTTCGGAACGAGTTTCAGGTCAGAAACGGGTCTGGTCATTTTTTGTCATGTATACTTCCTTCGTCCCAATTTAAATTGCTTTTTTTATTCATGATGTTTGACTGACTTTATTTTCCAAATCATTTCATATAAAAAATAGTGTAAGGCTAAAAAATAAAAATTACATATTTAAAAACTATGCCAAAAGATATACAAAATTAGTGTCGACGTGATTATATTAGTTTATCAAATGACTAACGAAAATAGAATAAGAAAGTAAATAAATTTAGATCTCGTAAATAGTAAACATGCGATTTAATTTGGATAGAGGGAGTACTTTTTAAGCAATCTTTCAAAACTAATACTGACTTTGTCCCTGAAAACTTTTCTTGTTTCGATTTTTTCGTCAAACATTCACACTCTTTGACTACAAATTGTTATGCATACACTAGTTCGCTTAGAACATCTATAACGCTTCATTTGTAAAAAGGATGATTTCTACTACTCCACCCTAGCCCGCACCCTGTCACGCACGCTTCCTACCATGGAGGGGGTAAACTGTGGAGTTTAAGAGCTAGGAAGCATCATTTTTACCAAAGGAATATCGTAGATGTTTCAAACGAATTAATGTAAGCAACTGTTATAAGTAACTATTATCATTTTAGATGTCATTATATACATACATATATGCATGTATGTGTATATGTGTGTGTGTGTGTCTATATATATATATATATACACACACACACAGGCAAGGCTATAAGGACACCCATTTCGGGTGTCATATTATGACATCGATCTAATTTATGGCTCTTTGAGGTACCATTTAAAAATATTGATGTTTCTAATAAAACAGGCACCAGAGAACCCTCAATGGGACGGTGTCATAATACGACACCAAAAATAGGTGTCACTAGGGGTGTTCATCGGTCCAGGACCGGACTGAAGACCGAAATTGAAAAAATATAAGACCAAAGACCGGACCAATCCTCAGTCGGTCTTGGACCGGTCCGGACTGAAAACTCTTAGACCGAACCTGAATAGATCAATTAGACCGAATGTGTTTTTTAGTTGAATTTTTTAAATCTTATACAACCAAAACACTACAAAATGTAATTCCATAATGGTATGTTTGGAAACATGGATTTGGATTTCAAATTGGATTTGGCTCAAATTCCATGTTTGGGAAACTTACAAATTTTGTATCTGGATTTGAGTCAAATTTTTCTCATTCATCACAAAGTTTAATTTTAAATTCATGTACTTCCCCTTGTCATTAGTTATTCAAAATTTCAAATTTTGGAATTCAAATACATGAATTGAAATAAAATCTTAGTTGCCAAACACTAGCTAAAAGAAATAGAAATAGTAAGTACCAACATAGAAGATTAAATTTTTTGTTCTGAAACGAAAATACAAAGCTTGGTGATTAGTGGCTTTTAAATAGAAGATTAAATTTTCTGTTTAAGTTTTGGAGAAGTATTTAGTGAACGGGTGAGATATTTATCCCTTCATTTGGTGTGATTTAGTACCCTCTCATAATTGAAAATTTAAACAACCAATTGTCTTAATGCCCGCAGAGAATGCATAGAAAATATTGAACATCTTTACCTCTTTTGAAATGAATCCAATGAGTAAATCTTTAGCATGAGAATCAAGTAGATACTTGAAGTTATAAGATGAATTAACAACAAATTTCTGCTCCTTAATAATTTTCAATGGAAAAGGTGTTTATTATGTTCTCTTTAGTACAAGAGAACTTAAACTACACAAAATTAGACCATAACAACCTCCTATCCTCTGCGTGTTTAGCACATATACTGCTGAGGTAAATACTTCACAATTATCTTTTAAAGCCAGAAACTCCAAAGTAACAATCTGATCATCCTCTTTACTGGACTGCACATGAGGGAGACGAGATGAGTACCGTACCTGATTCAATTGGGATTAAGGGAGCCGGCGACTCGGTGCTGGGCAGTGGGCGATTGGGCAATTGGCGCTGGGCAATGGGACTGACGATGAAGGCTCTCGACGAATCCTTTACTCTAGAACAACACAGGCGCAGAGGCGATGACGAATTGGTGATTAAGGTTGGGCTGTTGGGCAATTGAGTGAGTGGTGTATTTGAACGAAAAATATAAAGGTGTACTCAAATGTCCTCCACCCTCTCCTTGTCCACAAAAAAAGGTAAGAATAAGGTAGTCAATCTCGGTCTATACCGATTGATAATCGGGTAATGACCAAACTGGACCAAAACCCGAAATTAAGAATACTACGGACCAAAGACCGATCCAAAATCCTATTGGTTTGGGTTCGGTCTAGATTGATCGATCCGATTCAGTCAGTTTTTCCGGTCCAGACCTATACATGAACACCCCTTATGTGTCACTATGACTTTGTGGGTTCTTTATATGTTTTTGGTAGCTAATAGACTTATGATTGATTTAACTTCTTTATTGGTTTGATTGATTTAATCTTTTGGATACTCGCCTAGGTTCGAATTTTCAGCTGAAAGTTTGTTCACTCGACGTCTTGATTTTAAAAAACATGAACAAATACTAGAATTATAATAAAGATAATAGTATTATAAAAGACTTGCAATATATTTAGATTCTTAAAAAATGGTCCTTCCGTCTTAATGTATATTGCCTAGTTTGGTTTATGATGTTTGACTGAAACTATTTTTAAACTAATTTATATGAAAAGTGGTATAGAATTACGTACTCTCTCTGTCCCTAAATATTTGCCACACTTGTACGGAGTATTTCCGAGGCAAAATATCAAGTTTTTTCAATTCATTTTATTTACATATTAGTATAGAAATAAAAAATAAAATTTACATATCAAAAAATTACATGAAAAGTTCTTTGAAATAAAAGGTGTGTCAAAAATATTTTATTTTATCAAATAACCAATGAAAACGTAGAAATAAACAAAAGTTTTCGCGACTGTTGAAAAAACAAAAGTTGCAAATAATTTGGGACGGAGGGAGTATTAAATAAAAACAAAGATTATGTATTAAATAACTAGATCAAAAGATCTACAAAACTAGTTGTGATATGACTATTTTATTTTATCAAATGACTACCAAAAAGAGAAAAAAGTAAAAATTAACCTTATGATATGCTTAGATATTTATTTCATTGGTGCTTGATTCTCATATCTCAATTTTTTTATTTAAAACGAAATATCACTACGATAATGATGAAATGGTTTTTAAAAATATATAATGAAA